TATGCACCAAGAGCTTGTAACACTCCAAAGAGAAAGGAAAAATTGAAATCGCATCATATGACCCCTTTAAGTGAACGTAAACAGTGGAGAAAGAAATCGCATGTGTATCATTATATTAGATCAGTGCATCGGGTATTAAAGGGGCAGCAGCCTATAAATACATGCTGCTGTCTGTGTCCTTAATGTTAACAACAAAGCACAACTTTGACAAAACTCTATATTTAATTTATTCAGTGAACACTATGTAGAATTTGCCTTTTCATTCAGTCCCTCTGCTTTTTTGTTTCGTTCAGACGTTTTATGTAGAATAATTTCACAAAGCTAAAGTCAGACCATTCTGTTTTTGCTTCAAAGAACTGTGTTTCATGGCTCCGGTGTCTGTGTTGTACTACAACACCAGTAACTATGCTGATCTTTAAGCATCATTCCATGTGCTGTCTTTAGATACGGTTTGAATCTTCAGACTGTTTGTGTTTCGTTCAGATGTTTTATGTCGAATAATTTCACAAAGCTAAAGTCAGACCATTCTGTTTTTACTTCAAATTTCGAAATTATACAATCTAATTACAATCTATATAACGTGTAGGCCTGTGTAGCATCTTTGTTTGGATTGTGATTAAACTGCAGTGGGTGCCTCTAATTTTAAAGGGAAAGAGCCCAGGCTAAGCCTTAGTTTATATGAAGAGATTTTTTATTTGTATTAATTTATTTGATTTGATTTATTTAAAAAATTCAATTTAATACCTCATTTTGTTAATAAAAAAAAATTGTATTGTGAAATCAGTATCTTGAATCATATCGCATCGTGATTAAATGAATCGTTACATCTCTATATGCTCGCTGCTCAATGTGAAAGCACGCACGTGATGGAGATTTACCGCTTATTACAGAACGGCTTTACTGACAAGATGCGCGTTAAATATCGCATGCGATTTATCGTGCAGCCCTAATCTATTTATTTATTTTTTGTGGTTGTTAAAGGGATTGTTCACCCAAAAGTAAAAAATGTAATCTTTCACTCACCTTCAAATCATTCCACACCAAAAAAAACGAATATATGAAGATATTTTTTACTTGCTTGAAGCATAATACCTTACTGGTTCTCACACATCAAGCACGTACAGTTGACCTTCTGTTTACCATGTTTTTTGAGCTTTATGTATGCGTGTTGATCAATGTTTACATGTGAATAAAAGCCTAAATTTAAATCTGTTCATAAAGTGAGCATATCTATTCAGAACACTTTAATTAAACCATTCGATTCATTTGCAATCCCTTTATGAACATTTTGAAGCATTAATATTTTGGTGGCGTTTCAGTAGAGGTACAGAAATCTCTTTCATTAATATATCTTCATTTGTGTTCCGAAGATAAAATTCTCATGTGTTTAGAACAACATGAATGTGAGTAATTGATGACAGTTTTCATTTTTGGGTGAACAATCCCTTTTAATTTATAGATTGTAAAATTTAGTTTTGCACTATTAAACTTCTGATTGTTTTGGTTGTCCAGGCAAATGCCCTTACAAGCAGCTGCATCTCAAGCCAACCGATACAGCAATGCAGCTGATGCCCTCGCCGCCCTTGTGGATGCTGCCGCCTCTGCCCCGCAGATGGATGTTGTGAAAGTCAAGGAGGGCAAGCATAATAACAGTAGCTCCCGGGATGATGAAGTGATGTCATCACGACGGGCAGCACTGGAGTCGCAAGAGCTGGAGTGCCGTTCCGTGCAATCTCCATATGGGGACGTATCACTTCCTAGTGGAAAACCTTCCCATCCTGTGTATGCAGAGGGAGGAGGAGCTGCAGGGAGCAAAGAGAAAGCCCCACCCACCAAGTCACGCATGGAGGAGGAGCTGCGCACGCATGGGAAGACCACCATAACTGCTGCAAACTTTATTGATGTCATCATCACGCGCCAGATTGCCCCAGATAAGGACTCCCGTGAGAGATGCTCACAAAGCTCTGACTCCTCCAGCAGCAGTGAGTGTCATCAGATAGACAATGTTTATTTAGTATTATTTATATTGAGTAATAACAATGATGCCAACAGAGGTTGCGTAACTCTGCACATCTGTACAGTTCATGACTAAGAGTCTCATATGTTCACTACCATTCTAAGGTTTGGAGACTTCACCAAGGCTACATTTATTTGATCAATAATATAGAAATATTGTGAAATATTATTACAATTTGAAATAACTATTTTCTAATATATTTTAAAATCTCATTTTATTCCTGTGAGTTTTCAGCAGCCATTTCTCCAGTCTTCAGTGCCACGTGATTTTTCAGAAATCATTCAGATATGCTCTGGTGCTCAAAAACATTTATTATTAAGATCAATGTTGAAAACAGTTTAACTGCTTAATATATTTGTGGAAAGTGTGATACATTTTTTTCAGGATTCTTTGAATAGAAATCATGTATTTGATATAGAAATCTTTTGTAACAAATGCCTTTAGTCACTTTTGATTAATGCATATTTGCTGAAAGTATTAATTTCTTTTCAGAAAGAAAAATCTTACTGACTCCAAACTTTTGAGTGGTAGTGTACATGCCCCAAAGCAGAGCAAACAGGAAGTCACAGTTTCACCATATGCTGGATTTGTGCAAGTTGGTCACAGTGCCACAAGCATCTTTATATCAGAGGCAAAAAGGATGATTCAAGAAATTAGATACTTAAAAGACAGTCAAGACATATACTTAGGGATTTGCTAACAGAGGGCATTAACAGGACACCTAATAGGATAGCTAGTGCCATTGAGGCCATGAGACCTAATAGTCTTAGGAAACCTCGATAGCACAACCTGTGACCCAGCTGGAACGGAGACTAACAACAGTGACAAACTTCTGACCTGAGATTTGACAGGGTTATTCCATTAAAGGGAGTGTAGCTCTTAGCACAGGAAAGAAATTCACTCTCTTTCCTAAGTGACTTACTATAAAGGCTGCTAGAAGTTTTTCAATGCCAACTTCTGTGTAATCTGTTCATTTTATGCCACATCGCTTGGTGGTAGATATTATCAGATGGATTTATTTATAACAATGGCATGTTGTCTTCAAAATAAACAGAAAAGCGTCAAAAGCCACATATGAAAGTTGATGGTGGTACTAAAGTAGTGACACTGCTGCTCAGCATGTTTTTTCTGTTGAATACTAGCAAGTGTTTATTTGGATGCATGTTGAAGACCATGTGCTAAAGGTGTAGATGGCACACCCTCTCCTACTAACAAACCAGCTTTATTTACTTACAAGCCTGTAACATCATGTCTACATGTCGTTCAGTGTCATCCAGTCGTTATGATGCTCAGGGTGGAATTGAGGTGATCAGCCCTGCTAACTCTCCAGCCCTGAGAGAAGAGAAGAACGAAGGATCTTTCCCACCAGAAAGGAGCTCTCAGCCACACCCAGGTGAGACTTCAAATCCCTGGCGCCACAGCCAAGAACTTGAATGTCTGTTCTGTCAAGATGGGGTGAATCTCCTTAAATATTTTAGGAACACATCCAGGTTATTTTTCACCAACAAAAAGAAAAAAAATGTTTATATTATTTCGATTAATTAGAGCTATTAAGATTTTTTCATTGTGACATGATTTTCATGACAGATGGGTTTTTTTGTTTGTTTTTTTATCTGATCTTATGTTGTGTAGGATTAAGGTTTGACATTAACCGGTTCAGGCAGTCAGGAGATTCAGGACCTTCTGCCCCTCAGCAGCCCCCCTCCTCACAAGCAGACAGTTATGGGCCTGTCCCGAAAACACACCGCATCATGACCCTCGCTGACCACATTTCGGTAAGTCACACTCATACTCTTGATGCTTTGTCATGTCACTCCTCCTTCATTGCCCTCACTTTCTCTCTCTCTGTCTTGCAGCATATCATTACACAGGACTTTGCCAAGAGCCAAGATCCTCCCCCATCATCCAGCTCACTGCCTTCCTTTTCATCCTCCTCCTCACTCTCCTCCACATTCCAGAGCTCTGGTGTGGGAGGTGTTGCAGGTCGAGTTAAAGCCCCTAACCGCTATAGCCCAGAAAACCCAGCTCCTACTGCACACCACCAGAGACCACCAAACAGAGTATCTCCCGAGAACTCTTCCGATAAACCAAGAGCGAGGTACATATGAAAACAAACACACAGTGTATACATACAACGGCAGACATTTCACTCAAATGAGAGTCATTTGGACAAAAATGCGCACAAGCCTTTTAAAGAATGTGTAACGAGGCCAGCTGGTAAGAGTTGCGCAGGGAAACCTCAATCTCAAGAAGTGCACTAGTGACTGGCTCTAGGCAGGGCGGTTGGGACCAAATGCATACACACAAATTATTGTTCAAAGGTTTGGGATCTGTACTTGTTTTTGTTTTGTTTTATTTCTGTTCAGCAAGGACTTATTAAAGTGATCAAAAGTGACAGTAATGACATTTATAATGTTACACAATATTTATTTCAAATAAATACTGTGCTTTTGAAATTTATATTCATCAAAAAATCCTGAAAAAAAAAAGTCAGTTTCCACAAAAATATTAAATTATAATATTTCTCAATACTATACATTGTGAAATATTATAATTTAATGCTTTTAGTCAATGTTTGTATTATTAATATTATTATTCATTGTTTTTACTGACTTTTAATCAAATAAATACAGTCTTGGTGAGCAGAGTTCTTTTAAAAAAAAAAAAAAAACATTACAAAAGCCTTGCCTAAATCCAGACTTTTGAATGATAGTGTATGTGAATATTTGTATACGGGCACACCCAACCAACAGTCTCTATTGAGAGCACAAGGACCTTAAAGGTTTTGGAAATTGGTTTTAAAATTGGGTGTCCTAAAATGAATGTCTCTGTAAACTGCCAAAAAATTAATAAATAAAAAAATTTCGACCATAGTTAGATTCTTTTAGTCAATCTCAAATCTTGTAGATTTTGCGCATACACAGGGAAGTCCATATATGTGAAGTAGGAAGCTGAGAGCATAGTAGTTAAATTGGATCATTGAAGTGAAGTGCCATTTTCAGCTTCACAATTGTGACAAAACAACATTGTGCCCTTTTGCCCCATCTCTAAATACGACATTCAGTCAGTCTTTGAAGGGTCTCGTCGGTGCAACAGTATCTGTACAGGGCAGGTTTTTTAAAAATATAGAGTTGATTGGCTACGTCTGGCTGAAGTTCTAGAATGATTAACATCGCTTACAGCCCTTTCAACTAATCTGTGAAACACACTAAAAACAGCACTGCTGTCCCAGAAGCAGCCTCTTATCCATCTTTGTCTCCCAGGCCAGGTAGGTCTCCTGATCGAGGACGAGGACCGGAGAACTATGAGCCCATCTCTCCTCCTCAGGGTTATTCTGGGTTGGATAAACAGGAGGCCAGTGTGCTGCAGGGTCAGAGACGAGAGCAGGATCTCCCTGAACAGAGGTAGAAATTGATTGTCTCTCTTTACTACTTTGCTGTATAAGCCTTTATTTATGCCTTTTTAAATTACCTATAATTTTTCAGGCTTTTGTTTAGAATGATAAAGAAAAAAAACACTCAAAGGAAAATTATATGAAAAAGTTGTAATAAAGTAGTTTAATTAAATTAAAAGCAACTGCCTGTGTACCTGAATGTTGTCTGTTTATTGTCTTAGTTATTTTGGGCTAGCCAAATTTCCTATGCCGTATGCATTGTGAGATCTTAGACCTTTCTTTTGTGTCAGGACTGACTCGCGCTCCCCAGGCAGCAGCAGTTACCTGCCCTCATTCTTTACCAAACTGGAGAGCACGTCTCCTATGGTTATGTCCAAAAAGCAGGAGATCTTCCGCAAAGCAGAAGTCGGTGAGTGACAACAGCAAGCCCATTTTCTCAGAGACCTACTGACATTCAAGCTCAGAATATTTACTTCACTGCACTGATAAACTGATGCTGAGTCTTTTATTTAGACTATGCGCCCAATACTCGTACTCTTACTCATAATCATTAAAATGCTCCGATACCAAAAAAACAATACCACACATTGTGTGAACAGTGCTGTGTCCAGACAAAGAACCACAGAACAACAGAGAGCAGAATGGAGTTATTAGAAATTAAGGATGTCTGTGAAGAACATGCGTGTAATATAATGTTAAACATTCAATATCCACGCCTGTATAGCTGATGTGCACGAGCTGATGAGCAAAGCACGCTGTGGGAATTGAGCACGTGTCGAGCAAGTATCCCTTTCTCACAGATATCACTGGAAAGTTTGTTGTTTGGTCAGGGAAATAACTGAAGGAAATATGTTTGCTAAATGAAGCCAACTAGCATAATTAATACTATATTCTGGTTTCTGTACCCAATATTTTTAAAAATTACAAATGCAATGAAAATACTGGTACCTGTATTGGCAAGTACCAAAAGTGAAAGTATCGGCATCGGAGTCGTTCTGGAAAAAGTGGTATCGGTGCATCCCTAATTTAGACAATTGCCACCTGATTAGCACCTAATTCTACCTCCCGTTTGCTCCTGACCTCAACAGGTAACGCTCAGCCAGGCACAGAGATCTTCAATCTCCCAGCAGTAACAACATCAAGTGAGTTTCCCAACTTATCAGTATGATTAATTTCACCGTAAAAACATGTAACTGCATCAACACTTGCATCATTTGATGTATTTTTCTGTGTTTGTGTTGCATGTGTTTTATATCATAGTTTAAACACTTCTTAAATTGGTTTCAGTGTTTCCAATATGTGCATGCGTGTATGTTTTTTTATCCTTTACAGGCAGTGTAAACCCTAGAAACCACTCGCTTAGTGATCCAGCCAGTAATCTGGGTCTGGAGGACATCATCAGGAAGGCTCTGATGGGGAACATGGAGGAGAAGCAGGAGGACCAGCAGCAAGCCCAGCTGGGGACAGGAAACACCTCAGGCAGTATTTCAGACAGCCGACAGGAGGCCAGCCCATCCCCTAACACAGGTTCATACTGTAAATTCACATCAATGAACATACATTTTCTCTAAAACAGAAAAAAACATACCAACATGCTGAACTTTCTGCAGAGTGCTTTGTGGGTCGGCTAATTACCACGAAAAAAACAGTGTATTGGTCTTTTTAATCTGTGTGGATAAATACACAGATAATACTGGTCTTTAGTGGACAATCACTCTGTATTAGAGCAGTCACAATATCAGATTTTTATTAGTTATCACAGCTAAAAGCATTCATGATAATGAAATTTTCATGATATCTATAGAAATGAAAATAAATAAATGCGGTCAAATTTAGCTTTTTGTTTTCTCTTTTTTTGACCAATGAATCACACTCAAAATGAATGGGAAAGTACTTCCGGAAGCAGCGCTGCTGAGAAAGTGGAGAGAGAAAGTTTGTAACTGTACGAAAGTATCCAAAAAGAACTTGCGGTTGATTGGCACATCCTACAGACTGTGTAACACCTTGTTTGTTTTTTTGTTGTTGTTTTTTTTGCTAAAAAAATACTCTCACATTGGCAAGCAAATTTTTTTAGGTTCATGTTTTGCTTTTGTCTGTCATCTCCAACATGATTTTGAGCGGCAATAAGAGCTACAAATTGTGTCGTTGTCGTCTTTCTCTTTGGTAATGGGTGACAACAAGGTGCATTATCTCCGCCTACTATGTTGATGCAACAACCAGATAGTCACTGCCCCTGGATTATTTACGATATTATCAAATGTGCAGTATTAACATCATCAAAATTTCATTTTTGAAACATATTGTGATACCTCTATTCTGAATGCTGACATCCTTGTCTATCTTTCTGCCTCCATAGCAGGAAAACAGAAGCTGCAGAGTAAAGCTAGCAGCAGAAAATCAAAGTCTCCTAACCCAGGCCAGGCTTACTCTGCCGGACAGCGGCCCTCTTCTGTGTCCTCCGTTCATTCAGAGGGCGATTACCACAGACAGGCACCCACCTGGGCTTGGGAGGACCGGCCGTCATCCACAGGTGAGCGACTTGATTGTGGATTGTTAGATGAAGTTGTTTTGTTAGTGACATTGGTTGAAATTTAAAATGGTTGTTTCTCTTTCCTCTGGCCTCAGGTTCCATGCAGTTCCCTTATAACCCCTTGACGATGCGCATGCTCAGTAGTACCCCTCCCACCTCCATGGCCAGCCCGTCTCCCTCCATGCAGTCCCAGCAGCAGCCACAGGGCAGCGCTGTGGCCCCGACGCGTGCATGGGAGAGAGAGCCACCGCTACTGTCAGAGCAGTACGAGACCCTCTCAGACAGCGACGACTGAGGCAGGTGATCCACCTCCTCCTCCTACACAAGCGTCCACGCCCCACTCCTGTTCACCGTCGCCCTTCTTTTGCTGTCTTTATGAACCCCACTCACTGCCATTTGAGAGTGAGATTATGCTGGTAAGGAGGACGTACGTTTGGTGCTACTTTGGTGCCCACTGGTGGTCAGAGAGAGCATTGCAGAGAGCCACTGATTTCAGGATTGAATCCGATGCTTTGATTTTTGGCCCGTTTGGGGACGAGAGCTAAACAAATCCCAAGTGAATAGAGACATGAAAGTCAAAAGGATGAAGAACTTCTAAAGAGACTTGTTTGCTGAAAATGTTTCTGTAAAGATTTTTTTTTGTCTTTAAAAAAAGAAAAAATCAATATATGTAAATAGAGTAAACTTTTGCAGTGTTTTTCCTTTAACTCGTTTTCTTTTCTGCATTTTAACATTGCTTTTTAAATTGATCCCAGTTGGATGGATTGGTGGGTGGAATAAGACACTGTGGAGATTTTTGTGGTCCATCGGGTGAAGAGCAGTGAGCTTCCTGCTCCTGAAAGTAATGGTCTAATAGAAACTACTTCAAATGAAACGCAAAAAGGACTTCATTACCTTAGTCTCTCCAGATGCGGACCCTGTCTGTGCAGCACTGTTGAGATGTTCTCTGCCCTGTTACTTTAGGGAGGAAGTCACAATCGTTCATCAACTGTTTTAGGAGGGCAGGACCTCAGCCCTTTTCTGGTGTAGGAGTTTGTCTGATTCACAGTAAAACGTCAGACATCAATGTTTCTTAAGTTTTTTCTTTTCAGCTTGGTTCTAGTCTTCAGTAGTGGCCTGTTGCAGATCTGTTCAGAGCGTTTGGCCCTACGGTTGAATGGCTGACAGTTTGACAAGAGTTGTCATCTTTATTTTGTGGTTCTAACTGTTCTTACAGGGCTTTTCTTAAAGGTTGTGCAAGGTCCGCCACCCTTCCCCAGTAACCCTTTTGCTTTTTGAAGTTAAATTTGTTTCTGGGGGTGAATGTGCTTGTAAATCCTCTTTTACTAATCATAAAGGAGCACATATAACGTGTATATTCTGTCAACCGCAAAACAAAAATACAAAGATAAAAATAGGAAGTACCAAACTTGATGCATCTCTGCACCATTGTTGCACTTTTTTTCCTTAGTAATTTTGAGAAACTTAAGATCATACTACCTGCAATCTAAGTTATTTAATGTCATGCAGAGGCCTGGAATGCTTTCAGATATATTCATGTTTCAGTCTCTTACTACATCTGCATTTTCAATTCTTGGAAATCGGACCTAGTTTTTTTTTATTAAGCTTATAAATCGGTACCATTTATCTCAGCAGCTCGCGCTCAGAGATCTGAATATCTCTGTCTGAAAGTGAATAAGCTCAGTTTTAGTTACTTGCAGAAATAGTTCAATGTGACGAAAGCTAATGGAGGTCCCTGATATCTGAAGGCATCTCTTGATCCTGCCTTTTCCCACTTCATGTGCTTCTGCTTTGTTCGAATAACACCACCAGTCTGATCTTTACTTAAATATGATGGATTCATTTTCTTCAGATTCCTAAAAATGTTGAGCTCATATTTGGATATTTTCTGTAATTTTCAGCATCAATGTTATATTCATCCTGTTTTAACGGGATGTCAAGTGTTTACAATGGCATTGACAAAAATGGTGAAACTTGAATCTTAAAGAAAATTAAAATAGCTCATCACGTCAGTATATTTCACAGTTCAGCTTTGCAAGGGTGACTTTTTTTTCTGGTCCGTTCTGAATCAAGACTTGGAAAAAAAAGTTACTTGTCCCCTGATTTGGAAATCCAGTGTTTGTATCACTCTGTCTCCTCAGTAGTGGATGAGAAATGTGCAGACCAATCAATAAAGTAGAACAGAGCTCCACCTCTCTGAAACAAACAGCGCTGTATCTCCTGTCTCTACTGTGTTTCTTTCCAATCAGCTGCCAGAAAAATCCAAGATATTTTGAAAAAGAAGATTCCACCTACTGGTTTGGAATGACATGAGGGTGAATAAAAGATTACAGAATTTTCAATTTTGGGTGAACCTTTCGTTTAAGTTCCCCAACAGCACTACAGCAACTGAATGCAACTAAAACATGTTAAATTTAATATAGAATTTGACACATTATGTACTGCCTGTGCACCCAGCGTCTTTAAAGGGTTAGTTCACCCAAAAATGAAAATTCTGTGATTAATTACTCACCCTCGTGTTGTTCGAAACCTGTACGACCTTCTTTCATTTTCGGAACACAATTTAAGATATTTTTGATGAAATCTGAGGGCTCTCTGACCCTCCCATAGACAGCAAGGTAACTACCACGTTCAAGGTCCAGAAAAGTACCAAGATGATCGACAAAGTAGTCCGTGTGACATCAGTGGTTCAACTGTAAAGTTACGAAGCTACAAGAATACTTTTTTGCGCAAAGAAAACAAAAATAATGACTTTATTCCACATTTTCATCTCTACTCCGTCACTTGTGGACGCGCGTTCATGACAGTACCATGACGCTAGCGTGTGGCTGCGCCACGCAGTAGAGGCGAAAATGTGGAATAAAGTCGTTATTTTTGTTTTCTTTGCGCAAAAAAGTATTCTTGTAGCTTCGTAACTTTACAGTTGAACCACTGATGTCACACGGACTACTTTTTATCGATTTGAAATTTCCTCATAATTTCCTCACCCCCATGTCATCCAAGCTTGCTAATTTCACTTGGATGAAATGAAACATTCAGCACATTTTCCACTTGTTCTTAAAATCCCAAATACTTAAAAATGACTAAATCAGCCTATGTAACATATGTAATACTTTAATAATTGACTTAAGAAATACAGTTCTTTATTTATAAGAAATAAACAAATATTTTCTGTGAAATTCAGTAATTAAGTTAATTCTGTAAAAGTAGTTATACCATTATAATCTTGCCTGCTGAAAAAAAAAACAATAGAACCCCTCCTAAAACACAAAAAAATTTATGGATTTCAGGGTTATAATGGGAATTGTATTGGTTTTAATGTAACCTATAATGAGGTGTCTATTTGATGGATTCTATTGGTGGGATGTAATCTGGCAGATGGCAACCAATAGAACAACAGTAATTCCTATTGGAATAATGCCCAAAACAAAAAGGAATTTTGTAATGGTTTAATGGAAACTATAAGAATTTCTGTGATGGTTTCTATTGTTTTTTTCAGCAGGGTAATGATACCCATACTGTGCTGCACATTATTGACAATATTGAGCTGAAGCTTGACTTTGCAAATTTAAAATCGCAATCGCAATATCTGTCAAAAAAATCGCAATTTGATATTTTCCCCCAAATCGCACAACCCTACTTTGAAGGTAATGTACTGTAAGTCATGATTTGAGTCAAAGCTTGAGAATAATTGCAATTCAAATTATTGAAATATTACTGCCATGTTGATAAAAACATAAATGATCACATTCTTAATTTTTCCAAATTTAGATAAAATGTCAGATCAAATCTAAGGTGTATGACTATAGCTGTTGTAAGGGTGAAGTCTGACTGGCTTGCGGTAAATACTGAGAAATATCTCGAGTTTTTGCTTATACTGTATACAGGTGTACATGCCAATATTAGATTTTCTGTTTGGATGAATAAATAAAAAACTGTCTGAAGCAGAATTCACACATTCACCTTCATATGTGAAGACAATTATTCTGTATTGTTAATTATGCATTTGTGAACACTTCCTGTTCGATGTGTGAGGAAGTGACAATTTCACACCACAATGCACATTCCTCCTGCAGCTTCAGTGATCAGATGAGACCATGAAGCTGTTTGGACTGTATTTCTCTTCTGTGTGGATGTTGTGCTGCTGCTGCTGTCTTGTGTATGGCAGAGGTCAGTAAATTCTCTCAAATGTTTATCAGCTCTACATTTCTTTTATTGCACCCTTTAAAGTGTGCTTTTGTCTTTGATTATATCAATCTTGTCCATTTCTAATCCTTCACACAGGTCATGGTTTGTGTATTAAAGAAAAGCGCATTACAAAAATCTATTTAACCACAGAACTGCAATCTAAAGTCCTGCTGCCGTGCCTTTTTGAACCAGCTCTCTTTGGATCAGACCTGACCATGAATTCAAGTGCTGTGTGGACTCAGATTAATAATGAAATGGTTGACTACATTTTAGAGATCATAGTAAATGGTCAGATAAGCTTCTGGAATAACAGACACAATAGAATTAATGGATTCTGTGATGCTGCTGCCTCTGAAAACTTCTCCATCCTGATTAGAGATGTGCGGCTCTCTGATCTGGGTCTCTACCGCTGTCAACTGTACAGAGACTTCAACTGTTCTCTGGGCTATAAAGAGATAGAAATCAGTGAGTATGTGAATTATACCTCTTTACAAGGACATTAATAGACCATCGGCAGTATAAACCTGATATAGTGTTATGAAGTGGATGAATTTATGCTGGCTTATATCTCAGTCATCTTTATGCTTTTGATCAGGTCTGGCTGCTGTCGAGTTTTCACTGCTCAGTAACTGGCAGCTCATAGCTGCAGGAGGAGGAGGAGGATTTCTGCTGCTCTGTCTGATCTCTGTGTGTGTTTACTATACATGGACAAAACGTGAGTCTGACTACTACTGCTATGAGACAAACCATAATGTAAGACAATTCATACAACACATATGCTACTACAATACAGTAAATGAAGTGAAAGCTACATATTGTAAAGACATTATAAACAAAACAAGTAAAAGACCCGATGTGTGATGACAATATGATTCTGAGCAAGGCTGATTCAATTCAAGTCACTCTGAATAGTTTTCAATGTGAACTGCTCTAGCCTCCTGAGACCCTGTGACCTCATATGAGGACATTCTATTTTGGTGTATTTCTCTGAGACTATACATGCCACAGTTTTAAGTCTGGATGTCCTGTACAGAGCACATTCAGGGCTTTTCAGAGATACTAAATGTTTGAATGTTTCACTATGACCACTCCCTGTCCTTGGTCTTCAAATATGTCTGATATTAATTTAGTGACACTCTTATGAAAATATGATAATATTTTGTAATTATCATTTAAATCGGACTAATTTTTAAACTGTGTGTCATAATGCAACATCTCAGGAAAATGTTATGGGGTTTCAAATCAAAATATGACTTTCTGTTACGAAACAGGATGTTGATTTCATACATGTCCTCATATGAGGACACTGGGACTAAAAGCATGTTTATTAGCATTTTGGGAGACATAACAAAGGAATAGGGAAATAAATTATGTTTCAATATTCTATGAAATATTATATATTATGAAAATCTTGTCAATTATTACTCCCATTATTACACTTCTTTTTTAATTACATGTTGCCCCAAAAACACATTAATATGCAAATTAGATTTAGTTTATAGATACATTGTATATAATGAGAAAACCCGTTTATGGCCATTTTACACACATTTTGCAGAAAGAAAAATGGTATATCAAATCATTCTGTTATAACATAGTTGAGAATCATCTTTATACAAAGTTTGGTAAAAAAAAAAAAAATCCTGAA